CTGTTTTCTGATTTTTTGCTGTCAGACCTATTTCGAAGGGCATTTGAGACATTTCGCGATGTAATTTGAATTTAGATATAAGAGGCACATTTTAGAAAGTAGGGGGGACTTTTGGAACTGATTTTAGGATTGACAACTGAGAGGAGAGTTCGGCTGGAAACAGAGGATCGATCAAAAGCGGAAGCAATTGATGATCCAAGGATTTCAACTTGCATTGTAATAATCTTCTCCTTTTTAATTCTAATTACTTTTATGTTTACCAAGAACATGAGCAGCTAAACCCCAAGTAGTTAGGGGGTGGTCCTAAGTGCGATGTAATGACTTTTGTTTAATTATTATATGAGAACTATGTTTTTACCTTGATATATTTTATTTTGCATTAAGCTTAATCGTATTCATATTGGAAAGTAGAATTCGAGTCGTGCTTAGGCTTTAGTCTGGAAAGTCAACCTAACACTTTTGCAAAATAGTATCACGGTCGATATTGCTTAGGAATGAGGATGTCCCGTATCACGTATTTTATGGTCGGAACTATTGCTTGATGTTTTTCAGGGACACTGAGGAATTAGTGAACAGGAAAATCATCAAAGGGTTTCCATTAAGGAATTAAGGCAACTAAAGTGGCCAACTGATAAATTAAGGTTAATAACTAGTATAGTAGAATAATCATACAGGGTTTTTACTCGCATCGTCTCCACTCTCCTAACACTGTTCTTAGATTGATTAATTAAGTCCGTATTTACTTGTTATATTACTCTGCTACCAAACAAACCACTAGACCTTTTGTTCAATTGAATCCTAAAAATTCCGTTAATTACTACGCAGTCCTCGAGATCGATACTTGGGACTTTTCCCTTATTACTACAATTGGTAAAAATAGTACACTTGCTATTTTCCCGACCATGTGGCGAACGAGGCGTCTTCGTATTGAAAGACGAGCGTCGAAACCACCCTCACTACAGTGGGCATCCCTACGCTCGGAGAAGAAGAGGTCTACACCCAATCCTCTCTCTTTAATTCAATGCAAAGAGAACTTCGTTCTCTTATTAAAGATGTTTTTGGTTTTGAATGGTAAGTGCTTTGCGACAGAGAACCCTACGGTAAACGTCAGCACTCGGGATAGGAGAAGGCCTACGCCTAACCACTCCACGACCATTCAAGTTTTTGTTATGAAAAGATTTGAAAATGCACTCGGTACAGGACCGAGGTTTTAGGTGTGAAAATTGTGGAAGGAAGTTGTGAAAGCGAGATGGTGGATAAAGTCGCGTCTTCGTATTGAAAGACGAATATCAAGACCACCCTCACTACAGTGGGCATCCCAACATTCGGAGAGGAAGAGGTCTACACCTAATCCTCTCTTTTTAATTCAATACAAAGAGAAATTAGTTTATTATAAGGAGATGAGATTTGAAAAAAAGGAATCAGTACGGGACCGAGGTTTTGAAAATATACTCGACACGGAGCCGAGGTTTTTTTTAAGAGAGAAAGTGGATGGAAAGCGTCTTCGTATTGAAAGACGAGTGTCGAAACCACCCTCACTACAGTGGGCATCCCAACACTCGAAGAAGAAGAGGTCTACACCCAATCCTCTCTTTTTAATTCAATACGAAGGGAAGTTGATTCCTGATTGATAAGTACCTGCCAAAGAGATGAAAAAAACAGAGACAGATATATACATATAATATACATAATATATAATCAACAGTCCACTAATTAGGATTTTAGTGATTTCGACATTTTATTAAATATTTTTGGAGGAATGTACAAGTGTTGAATATTTACAAGATAATAATAATATACAGATATAATATGTACAAGAATATAAATGACTGAAAATAAAACAGCTGTATATTTGACAGAAAATTAAAGCAGTGGTATATTGGCAGAAAATAAAGCAGTTGTATATTTACAGAAAATTAAAGTTAGTCGTCAGTTGGTTAGTGTATTGAATCGGGACTCGAAAGAATAGGATCTCGTCTTAACCACAAATAAAATGTCGATTAATCGAAGGTAGCCTATAGCGATCCCAAAGTAAGGAAGATGACCCCAATGGTCATCCCCCATAGATTTGAAATCGGGAAGGTTATCGACTTCGAAAATCTGACGCTTGCGGATAAAAAGCCTTCATCGATCCACAAGTCAAAAATAAAATCGAATCGGAATAAAAAATAAAAAATAAGAAAGATAAGAGGTGGTCTCAGATCCTTTGTTTCACGTCAATAATTTGACGGTTAAACGATGGAAATGTCGTCATCGACCAAAACGGCAAAAAATGCCCAATAAAAAAGGAAAAATGAAATCCAACTCTAGAAATAAAATAAATCTTAAAATCTCTAAAAGAAAATGAATATAGAGAAATAATACAAAATACTATAAATCAAAATTTAAAAAAGGTTAATATATTAACAAAACTTAATAAAACTAAATATAATACATATTAAAGATTCTAAAGAAATGATATTAAAGAAACCTACATAAAATAAATAAATAAATATATTTACAAAAAGATAATATATGTACATAAAAACATTCTAAAGAAATGAATAGAAAACTATATTATTAACTAATATATATATATATATATATATATATATATATATATATATATATATATATATATATATATATATATATATATATATATATATATATATATATATATATATATATATATATATATATATATATATATATATATATATATATATATATATATATATATATATATATATATATATATATATATATTAACAATCAAGTATATACATACAATAATAATAGTGCTAATGTATGAGCAGGGGGTGTCAAGTAGCAAAACAGGGGGTTCAGATAGAGATGCGGTGGGGGTGAGACGGAAAGAGAGGTCATGGTGTGTGTGTGTGTGTGTGTGTGTGTGAATCAGGTGGGCTTAGAGGGCTACATCCCACTAACAAAGATGCAAAAGAGAAAGAGAAAACGGATGGGCCATGGAATCCCTCACACCAGGCTCGACCCATTCATACCATACTAAAATCCTAACCAAAAACAAAACTAAAACTTCCAGCCTTATCATCAATGCCTCACCCTCACAAAGAGAGTCTAACAAACAGACTCACACCACGAAATTAGAAGAAGAAATCTGCCATGAGGTCTCGTTCAAAATTCTCAGACGACGGAGGAAAGAAAAAAATAAATCGAACAACAACGTCACATTGGGATCTCCCTGGCCTTCTCGTGACGTCGATCTCCGATCATATCCTCGCTCGTTTTGCTTTCGTTTTCACCGCAAGAACGCGATATAACTGGGTTCGTAACCTCGTTTCCTTCCGTTTGATTCACGTTTTAAATGGTTCGACTTCAATCCCTCTTCTCATCTCTCATTATCCCTATTTTGGATCTGGATCTAGATTGTAAAACAGGTTGGTTTTTGGTTATGGTTTGAATGTCTTCTCTCTTCTGATTTTCATGGTAGTTGATGAACGAATTTCTGAGTTGTTGATGTTATTTGAGAAGATGAAGTGGTCGGTTTTGAAGATCTAGAAAATGGATTTTGAAGGAAGTCAAAGATTGAAGGTGAAAGGGTTTGATGTTGTTGTTGGTGATGCGTGGTCCGATGGGTGTTTGTGAGTTTTGAAGAAAGTGAAAGTTTGAAGGGAGAAGTTTGTTGGGTTAGTTGATGAACGATGGTGAGATGAAAATCAAGAGGGCGTTACGGTTGGGTTTAGTGAAAGAGAAGGTTTTGACGCATGTTCTGCCTCTTGCTCTTGCTCGCAATCGACCGCACATTCTCATGGTTCAGATCTTGCCAATAAATTGTTTTCATTACTCTTCTTCTCACTTTCTTTCTGTTCTGGATCTGTTTGTTGATTAAAATGGGTTTAATGGTGGATATTATTGAAGAACAGGTTGTTGGAAGGCTGGAAAAGGTTCGCGGGGATAAAGATGGTGATGATTGGAGGTTCGGAAAAAAACAATGGTAGAGATGGATTTGTAGGTTTGAACGAGTTTGTTTCTGGGAACTTGAAAACAAGGTTGGCGTTGAATGAAGATTGGAGATGGTGTTGGCTATGGATTTCACGGAGGTGTGTGGTTGGTTCGAAGATGAAGAGGTGTTTTGGTTTATTGTCATAGAATGGAAAAAGATTGAAAGGATTACAGTGGCGGATGGAGGAAGTCGAGGAAGATGAGTGAACAGGAGATGGGGCGGCGGATGGTTGGAGTTGCAGCGGCTAAGGTTTGGGATTCGTGTAGGAGGTAGGGTTTGGAGGCTGTCTAGGTTTTTGGGGTTCTCAAGGTTGAAGGCAATGAATAGTGCCTTTATACCCCAGTTTCCGACACATGGCACTGTACTAGCTGATAATCACTTGTTAATTGCTGATTTTGACTAAATGAACACGGTTAACTCCAGAAACATAAATCAGTTAAATGCTGACTCAATTAACTTTAATTAAACAATCCTATTAATTAAACTATACAACCAACTCTAATATAATCCCTTAATTAATTAATTTAAAAAAACTAATAAAGACTATATTCTAACTAAATCATTAAAAACCTAATTTAATTACTAAATAAATTTAAATTAATAAAATCCAATCCTAAAAATAAATGAAAACAAATACTAAAAATGTTTTATAAAAGCTAATAATAAAAATCTATTTTCTATTTTCTATATATATAAAAAAAAACTATTTGAATTAAATAAATGATAAAATAAAAATATGAACAAAAATTTAATATTTGAATATAAAAATGAGAAAATGAAAATAGAAACAAAATTTACCAAAATGCCCTTAGGCCACGTGTCACGCTTCTACTGGGCAAAAAATAGTCAAGACCTGAAAAACGCTCAATCGGGGTAGACACGTGTCTAAACGGCGTGAAAAATAAAAAATGCAAAATAAAAATGCGAAAATATTTACAAAAATTGGCGGGAAAATTTAGGATATGAGATACTCTATATAAAGTTTTATGATATTGAGATATAGAAATAGTGTTTATTCTCTCAAAATATGTCAGTACTAAAACTCAAACAGCATCTCATCACTGTAACCAAGAAGTCCAAGGTAAGCAGCCATAGCATTGTTCATGGGAGGTGGTCCACATCTTAATATCTGTAAAAAAAATATTTGATTTAGTCTGAAATGTGTAAGATAATGGAGGAAGAAACAGATTCGCTGTAGTTAGAAATCACCACACGAGATCCTATAGTTCTGACACTAAGTTCACAATTAGTAGAAGCAAGATTTCAACGGTGTAGACGAACTAACTGTGGTGACTGCAGAAAATTTTAACGAGGATTAACATGATAAGCAAAAATGACCTTAATATTCGATGCGGGTGCAGGGAAATATGTTTTGATCATTTCATAGGATACGAATCCGACACCACCGTCCCATATTTCTGGTGGCTGCATAGAGAATACGATGAATTTCATATCAGTTGATAAAATAATTCCGACTAAAAATTAGGATAGCTACTTTGAAACACATAAGAAAAATGACTGGATCGCTGTAAAGAACAGTAGTTGACAAGAGTTTGATTACCTGATTTAGAACATAATAAACTTTAAATTGATTTGAGAACTTAATTGCCAAATCATCCAGCTCTTCCTGCAAAGTCAGCCATTTATGTATGATCTTCATATGACTTAATAGAAAGAATAAATGAGAAAAATCAAAATAAGTTAATGATTTTCCATAAAACTACAATAAAATACAATGCACCTTTAGAAGAATGTCCTCATATGTGACATTGGCATATATCAAATTTATGCTGGTTTTATCCTCTGGATTTTCTAGTATAGCTCTTGTAACCTAAACAAAAAACAATACATGTAATTATTAAGGATTCAAAGTTTCAAATTGCGACAAAACGAAAGATCAACGGAGGGAACAAATGCTTAATAATCTTTTACATATTCAACACCTGATACATTGGAGTGATACCGGTGCCACCAGCAACCATTCCAATAGCTTTTACTTGGTTGGGTTGGTACTTAAAACGTCCCTGGAGACATCGAGTAACGATCAAACTACACTAAAAGCCACTCAAATAACATAAGAATGTGATCTATGTAGGGAATGAACTATTCGAACCTTTGGTCCTTTCACGGCTAAGTGATCGCCTTCACGCATCTCACTAAAGTGATGAGACATTCTTCCTCGTGGATACATCTAATTATCAACAAAACAATAGAGGTAGAAAAAACGAATTTTTTTTATTAACAATCATAAAATTGAATACTATAAAACATAAGTTAGTGTTATCTGATATACAACAACCTTTACAACCAATTCAAAGTATCCAATATCGGTATCCAAAGTTGTTGGAGTATACGGTCTGATTACTTCTTCACCAAGGCTGTCTTTCCCTCTGCAGCAAGGAATACAAATATATTCAGAATGAAAGCATTATAATTTCGCGAAAAATTCTCATGCTGAAATGAATTAGAAAAGAGAACCTGCAGCTGATATGTTGTCCAATGGGGAGTCCCAATACCGAGGTAGAAGTGGGAAGTTCAAATCTGAATGTGGCAACATTATGACTGAGTTGAGTGCGTTTGACAAGTTTAAATTCCTTGAATTTCTCAGGATTCAAGCACCCTGCCAAGAAATGTAGAAACTTTAATTATTGTCAAGAACCAAATTCTCCCTAGAACTTGAGGAGTTATTAGGTAAAATTGTCGCATCAACACCACTGAAAAAATGTCTGTCTGTGTCTGTATGTCAGTATCAGATACCTGCATCAACACTCCGATATTTTTTATTATGTTTAATTTATTTTTTTAATTATTACTAGTATCACGGTGAAGTGCCACTAATCAGGATCATATTAATATCTACAATATCTTCAAATTGATTACAAAGACCTATATATTCCTTTTTCATCCCATAACATTCTGCATAAAGGATTTTCCAATAAAATTAAACAATCCATTTCCTTCGTTAACAGTGTTCTGTTTTTATTTTTTATTTGTTAAAGTTGCCACAACCACAAACGCAAACAATAACACGGAAGCCGTTTAAATACAAAAAGAAGAAGAAGAAAAAAAAGAAGGTTAGAAGAGAAAAATGGAACGTTTACATTTCTTGGTGAGATAGTAATAGTAAGCGGTGCCACCAACAATGGCAACCAGAGCTACTGCCATGCTTATCACCTCGATCCTTTGAGTCTGCAGAAAATTCATTTTTTGAGATCTGATATTTTGCAACGAAGAATGGTTCTTTGTTTGCAGAGAGTGGATATGTATGTGATTTGCGTCAAAATTGGTGGCATTGTTATTGAATCAATCAAGGTTTCTTCCATTTGTGAGGGAACATTTTGCACACGTCACTTCATCTAATAACTAAAATTCTATACGTTTACTTTTCATTATTTTAATTAATAATTTTATTCCTCGCCTAGTTTTTGGGTTGTTTTATCTACTAACAACTCTTCAAAATTAATCGCATGGCTTTATCTATTTGTCATTCTAACATTTTTTTCACATCACTTTAGAAAATTTGAGAACTAACAAATCACTAAAATAAATCAAATTTGAGTCTCTTTTTTACTGTCAAATGACTATCGATGATTGACTCCTCAGACATGTTTGTGCTATGTATGAACAATGTTATTCATGACATAACCTTCATCTAATGATATTTTAGACGCACCTTTCAGCAACTTCGTTTTCTAAACAGGTGTGAAGTTTGGTTTTAATGTCCTTCATGTCGATTTTATGTAAAGAGTGTGAAGTTTGTTATGTGTTAATACTATGAAGTTAGGTTTCTGTAGCATAGACGAGTTCAACCACAATAATGTTTTCTTATACCTCTGCTAAGATGTTTTGGTATCCTTAGAGTCTTCATGTTTAATTGCTCATGCTTTATAACTTGTATGTTTATTGGTATGTTTATACTTAATGGTATCCTTACACTCATTATATTTCATATCAGATGCTTTATAAATAGTATGTCTCATATCAGATGCATTACGTTTAGGCATGGCAAAAAAATCCGGACCCGTCGGGACCCGTCCCGAAATTAGCTGGGAAAACCCAGTTTGAGTGGGTACGGGTGCAGGTGCGGGGAAAATCTAATTTTTAATTACGGGTGCGGGGAGACACTAAGACCCGCTCGCACCCGCCCCCGAATAATTCATTTTAATTTAATTCTCTTATTTTACTTATTTTAATATTTGTTTATTAATTATATTTTTAATTAAATTATTAATATATTTATTTCAATTAAAATAATTAAATTAATCAAGTTAATATTCATTTACTAATTAAATTTTAATTAAATAAATAATTAATTTATTAAAATAATCAATTTTTTAATTAAATTATTAATTTTTATTATAATTAAAAAGATTTTTTTTTTCGGGTGGGGGCTGGGCTGGTGCGGGTGCACCCATTCTCTACTGGGGGCGAGTCTGGGTGGTCAATTTTTACCCCCAATCGGGTTTGGGGGCGGGGGCGGGTGTGTTACATGAAAGCGGGTGCGGGTATAGTAAAACCCGCCCCGTTGCCATCCCTAATTACATTTCATATCAGTTGCTTCATGTTACTTTTTTTTCTTCTGTTTCATATACTGATATGCATTTCATGTTCATGTTACATAGAGTCATATGCATTTCATTTCATGTTACTTTTTTTCCTTTGTCATATGATGAGTTCTCTCATGTTAACTTATCTTCATATGATGCATTCTTATCATTTGGCCAGATTTTTAAGCAACCATGTCAAGACCACATATTCTAATCAAGGATTTGGTACAAGGAAATCAGGTGTGGAAAATGCTAATTTGTGTTATTGACCTGTGGGTTGTTAAAGAGAAAAGTAGGCTTCAATATTTCGAAATGGTCATACAATATGCAAAGGTAACCATTTGCAGTTAAGTCCGTAATTTTTTTACTCATGCTTCCTTTAAATGAACATTTACATTGTAAGGTGATCAAATTCACGTGACAACTCGGAATCGAGAGTTTAAAGATTAGATTGCACAACTTGAGAAACATGAAACATGTTATCTTTACAATGGAGATCCTATCGTTAATGACAAAGCTTTCAAAATATGCCCTAACAAGCTGAAACTTGTACTCAATGGAGGAACCACTGTTTCAAAAATAGAAATACCTGAAATACCGCCACACCAACTCCATTTTAAGCATATAGTCTATTTTCTTACTGAAAAATTCAGCAATGATCTCTTATATGGTGAGTTTTTTTTATAATTTTTACGTATCATTTGTTATACTTTATTTTACAGTGCTTGCGTTCTCAACAAACCACATTTTAACTTTATGAATTCTTTGCAACTTTAGACGTTATAGGTGTTCTGCAAGATGTTGTGAAGACGCAAATGGGCGGCGGTGGAAAGAAATCATGTGCCAAGATGAAATCTTCATGATGAGGCTGAAAATGTCATTGAGATTGCATTTTGTGACGATTACGCTAAAAAATTCATGAACTATAATGTCTCAAACAACTCTTCTATTCCACCACTCATTATCTAAACACATGCGTGATGTAAGAAAAATCAAGGTTTGACATTTAATCCTTATGTTTGACAATAACTATGTTGCTTGTTGTTTTAAGCATTCTCATATGTAACTACAATTCTATATGTGACATTAATCATCTGGATTGCCTAGCCCATCAAATGCATTGAATGGACTGAAGCTTCATGTTAACTTAGATCATCCCCAAGTTCAAGCGTTTAAATCATTGTATGAGAATTTCATATGCAATATGCATTATTTCTCTACTTTACGACTATATAGTTTACTTTCATATCCTAAATGTGTTTCACATTTACTTTTGCAATAGGTTAGCAGTAACCAAATCAACTGTTGCTTAGTCTCATTCTCTCAGTCAAACACTATATTCATTTGTACAATCTAGCAACAAAAAATGGACACATCCGAATGAGATCAAAACTATCCGACAATTTTGTGACTCGAGAATGTTTGTTGTAGTATTTATCATGATTCAAGTTATTGTCTTTATCATATATTTGCTAACAAATTAAGGGACCAATCTAGGATTTTTTTGCCACAACCATTGGTACTATGAAACAATTTAAAACCATTTATTATCTTTCAAGTTATGGACATTCATCCCACCTACAATTATTTGCTAGGCGACCATGGATCTATGAGGTCAGAGCTGTCACTTCGACACTTCATCAAAAGCTGAAATTTGTGAAAAATAGTAAACTTATGTGTTAGGTGGAGAACAGGCTATGCTGCTAAGCCATTTGTCATCTTTCTCATATATTGACGTTGACGAGGCTGTGGGAACTCCATTCCAAGCCTTATCCTTTGTTGACAATAGTGAAAAGAATAATGGGGTATCCATCTATTCTCTGAAAGATGCACAACAGATTGTTGAGAACGGTCAGGCTCTGGGCTGGGGAAGAGCCATTGAGCTTGCTGAAAAGAAGAATAGACTTAGTCTGGGTTTCTCTCCTAGAACAACTAGAAGGAAATTTAAGCGCTACTAAATAATGTTGGGTTCATATACTTTGGAGACCAAACTGCTGCCGCTATCATTGAAGATGACTCAGAAGACAACATACCGAAGGTGAAAGTGAAATTGTGAGGGCTTATTTCAAACTTTATTATCATAAATAAAATGTTATTTTTCTTATCCATGTGAGTTTTTTTTTATCTTTTTTCTTTTTCTGAAAAATAGCAACATAAAAACAAAAAAAAAAATTTCAATATATGCATAATTCTTACACATTTATTTATTTTCTAAATTCAAGCATATATTATTGTGCTGATTGATTGTTAAATCCATTGAAAACAATATCATTATGCCCTCTCCCAAGTTTGAATTCCCCGTGTTTAAAGCTAAAGTAGAGGATGTTAAGAAAATTTTAGATAAAATTTCTCGGTTGCTTGAGCACGAGGAAAAGACCATTCAGCCTTACGAAGAAACGGTGGAAGTGGTTAATTTGGGTTAAGAAGAAGATAGAAAAAAAGTCAAGATTGGAGCACTGCTTTAGTAAGATGTTAAAAAGAGAGTGGTAGAGTTTCTTAAAGAGTATGTGGATGTCTCTGCTTGGTCTTATCAAGATATGTCTGGTTTTGATACTGATATTGTGGAGCACAGATTGTCGTTGAAGCCAGAATGTCCGCCAGTTAAACAGAAGTTGAGAAGAACTCACCTCGACATGGATGTTAAGATTAAATAAGAGGTTCAGAAGCATATTTATGTTGGTTTTCTTGTGACTTATGAGTATCCTCAATGGGTGGCATATATTGGGCCAGTTCCAAAGAAAGATGGTAAAGTACGAATGTGCTTTGACTATAGAGATTTGAATAAAGACAGTCTAAAAGATGATTTTCCACTACCACACATTGATATGTTGGTAGATAATACTGCTAAATTCAATATCTTCTCCTTTATGGATGACTTTTCCAGATATAACCAAATTAGAATGGCGTCTAAGGATATGGAAAAAAATGGAATTCATTACACCCTGAGTAAGATTCTATTACAGAGTGATGCCTTTCGATCTGAAAAATGCTGATGCAACGTACTAGAGAGCTATGACTACTCTGTTCCATGATATGATACATAAATAAATAAAGGTTTATATGGATGATATGATTTTTAATTCGAAGACAGAAAAAAAATCATATTGAATATTTTTTGAAGCTGTTTCAGCGGTTGAGGAAGTTTAAACTCTATATGAGTCCTAATAAGTGTACTTTTGGTGTCCTTTTTGGAAAATTATTGGGATTTATTGTTAGCCAAAAAGGAATTGAATTATACCCTAGTAAAGTCAAAGTTATTCAAGAGATTCCTACACCCAAAATAGAAAACAAGTTAGAGGATTTCTCGGACGTTTGAATTATATCTCCAGATTTATATCTAGTATGACTGCCACTTGTGGGCCGATCTTCAAACTTCTATGCAAAGATCAAGGTTGTGTATGGACAAAGGATTATCATAAGGCTTTAGATAGCATCAAAGAATATATGCTTGAACCTCCTATTTTGTCTCTTCGCGTGGAAGTGCTGCACCCTAATTTTTGACCGTAAGATGCCACATCTTTTTGCGTGTTTTCTGTTGATATTTGACTTTAACTTAACATTTATGTTTTTGCGACTAACAAACTTATGCATATGCATTAATTTCAAGTGGGGATAGTACTCATTCTCACGGTCGATCGTTCACACGTAACTGACTGT